AAGCTGTTTTTGTTTTTTGTCATTCATAAACCTTTGAGTGTGACTTCCAGGATTACTGTGTCCTTTGCACAACCAACAGGCATCACAGGCTGATGAACAGCAAACAAAGCTGGACACAGTTCTTCATATATCATATATAGCTTTATTTATTTTTGCATGAGGAATACACTGTGAAAATCCCCTGCAAACAGAGCCCCAGTCAGCCCCTGAACGCGACAGAGGAGGCTGTACACAAAATGTTTAAACATCAGCAAGCAAACCTTAAGTTCTGTAAGCTATACTTCAGCGGTTAAGCGTACAAACCTGACATGAAAAATAAACTGTAGGATCAATAGACTCTCAGGTGAAAGCACTGCATTTGTATAAAGTGTTTTTCAGAGAGAAACATTTATTAAAAAAACCTTCAGTGTGTTTGTTCATGTAAAGGATCTCTAACAATAAATAAATAAGTTGTTAATTATCAGAGTAACCTTTAATTACCCTGTGTGATTTAGAGCCATGGCTTCATCGACCCCACGAGGAGGGTTGGACAGGAATTATAAATTTATATCTCATAAAAATCTGGACATTTATAATATGATTGTCTAAGTGATGTTGTTGTTGGATGCTCCTGTGTTCATCCAGCTTAAATATCAGTTGCAACTAACAGCATAATATGAAAATACAGTTAATATACACGACCACACTTTCATTATCAAGACAATAACATCAAAAGTCTGACTGACATAATGTCTCAAAGGTTAGTGGACAGTATTGTACATTAGTCAGGGCAGAAAGAACAAACCTTTATTGTGTCGTCGTTCTCACAGAGCCCTTGTTGTGCTTCCAGGTTTTATGATTTTATTTCATCCTTTGACACTAACAGTTTTTTTGTGTCTAATTTCACATGTTTTTAAAGGCAGACGAGTCTATTCATCACATCAAACTGAGGCAAAGCTGTCTGTGTACACCTTCTGATCCACACAACATTGCTGTTCTGATGATGTCAGCAGAAAGAAAATTGCATTAAAGGGACTGAGCTTTAACTAGTCTCTTGTTTGTCATGCACGCTCCTCTGTCTAACAGCAGAAACATATTGGAGCCTTTTTGGAGAATTCAGTTGTGTTAAAGCAGAAAAGCACATCAGCTGCAACGACAGAACAATAGAAAAGCAAACAGATGGTAACTATATGAAGCATCCACCATCCTGTGAGTTCCTCTGGTTGTTGGGACAGAGTCATCCACAGGGCCGTAAGATCCTGACAGCCGGGGACTACGTGAAGCCTGCTATGCTCATCCTCGCCACCAACAACAGAACGATGCACTTTTCTCCCAGCAGAGACATTTTAGGGTCACATTCTTGGTTAATAAAGGTGCAGAGCTCTATAAATGCAGTCCATTTACAGGTTTACACTCACATTATTGGAGGATTAATACTGACTCCAATCAGTCATCGGACATGGCACAAACAATGAAACGATCCTTTATCTATTCCCACAGAAGGAAATCTTCAGCAAAGACCAGGATCCACTAAACCCTGTGGTGCATTAACAGGACTCGATGCCATATCAAACTGCTGAGTCTGTTCTTATTTTACTGTTTGTCAGTTTTAGGACCTTCTGTGCTTCTTCACAAGCCAAAAAACAAGAAGAAAAATAGTTGTTTAGGGTTTAAATACAAAGTATGTTGGCACTGCTTTTAGTTGTCTAAGAAACATCACTTTACTAAAACAATTACAGATTCTGTAGCTTATTAAGACTTTAAAACAGCAGCAAATATGAGTATTTATCCACAAGGAATGAACAAATGTCAAATGCATATTCACAAACATAATATGCACCTCGTGGCCAGAACATTATCAGCTCCGCCATCAGTGCTCAATAAGCTTTGTTCAGACTAACGTAAGAATAAACACTCTTTGCCCAAGCGTCACACGAAGCAGAATTTATGTCACAACATGAAACCATTTCAACAGAGCGTCTGACTTCACAGCAGTGAACCTTTGACTTCATTCATTCTTCGTGAACTCTCCCGCCTCCCAGCGCAGAGCCATGGCGCTCTTGCGTCTTCCTCCAGTGTGGATCTCTGGAAACTGGCAAAAGACACTTTATTGGTTTACTGCATTCACACCACTCCCTCCACCTCTTCCACCAGCTTTCTCAGGTTATTGAAATAAAGATAGGATAAGCAAGTTTTCCAATGACAGTCTACCTTTTCTTTCTGTTATTGACTCAAACTATTGTCAGTTAAGACAGGATGTGACTTCTTTCTTTCCGAGGTACAACCCTGTCATGCCTGTTGCTGCTGTATTTGACGCACATACTGTTTTCAGATGTACAAATCATCATCGAAGCTATAATGCAAGATAACTGCCTTCAGAGGGAGACTGATGTAACACGGCTTCCATTACTTAAATATAAATATTTGTCTTAAAGAGACTTTACTGTGCATGGCACACTAACTTTGACTAAATTCATGGTGGAAATTGGACATCAAACATGATACAGCCAGGTGCAGGAAGTAGAGTCTATTTTATAAAGCCTGTAGTTTTGGCTGCTACAAATAACAAGCTTACTGTTTAAATTGTGTGGAGGGCGAAATGTCCTAGAAAAGTATTAGTAGTAGTAATTAGTAAGTAAGTAGTTTTTACTGCCTAAAATAAACTATTGTAACAAACAAAGCCATAAAATGTTACATGTTATGTAAAAAGAGTCACATACACTCAGTGTGGACATGAATGTCAGAGTTTCTTTGTTAGAAAAAAAAGGTTTGTTCACCAGTTCACTAGAATAACCAACATTCAGAATAAAATTCATCTCAGTGAAAATCTGGGAAGCAGAATTGTAGATTTCATCTTTTGGAGCCATTTCTGAACACTCACAGATTATTAATCCCAATAATATTTGAATGGAAGCAAGTATAATGTAAACAGAAATGACTGTCATGGTCCGTGGTCCTGTGTGTGGAATGTGTGATGCGCAGGTAGCCACACCCCCAGGCTGGGCCATCACCGGCACACCTGCTCTCCATCGGGGTGATTACCTGAAGAGCTACTTAACCCGGCGCTGACGGATGCTCCACGCCAGTCCGTTAATCACCTCTCTGTGGTAACAAGACTCCCACAAAAGCGTTGCATTCATATCTTGTTGGAGCTGCGGTAAATCTGCCTACTTGTGTCTAGGTTTCGATCCGGCGTTCAGCGTCTGCCACCTGCCTGTCCCCCTGCTCAATTGGATCACCCGGTACATCATCTGGCCCATCCACTACCTCCACGGATTTCCTTCTCACGGACTTCCCTCCCGAGCTCCCACGGTCCCGCTCTAATCCCTCCCACGGCCCCGATTCCGGCTTCCTCGCATCATTGTTTCCCCGGGTTTTTTAGTTCCTCGTTTTGCTCCTTTGGTTTTCCCGGGTCGCCTTTTGTTGTTATAATAAAGTGTCATTTTCTGCTAGCGCTTGAGTCTGCGTTTGGATCCTTTTGTGCACGCGCGCCACGGCGCATGACAGTGACTCTAACACTGAACCCTGTGGGACTCCATAGTTAACGTTTATTGCACGAGGACTCTCCATTTACACGAACAAATAATCTACGCAGAACCTTTAGTTTATAATAAAATAAAATAATAATATAATAATAAAATACTGTAGTCAACAGTAATGAGGTCTAGCAGGATAAGCACAGAGACGAGCGTCCGACTTGTTTCTGGTGGGACTCTGACAAGGCTGCTCTTGGTCACAAATCAAGCATCGAGCAGTCCGGACTGAGACTCAAGCTCCGAACTCTGTCGTCATGGCCACTGAGCTCTGCGGCTTCACTGAGATAGGGATATTTCCAGACAACAGCATTGTTGTGGGCATATCCATGAGCAGAGACCAGCTACTTGTAGTTGGGTGCAAACACCAGGATGAGATCTGGGACTGTGTCAAGTGAGCTGATACAGGAGCCGCTTGGTGAGGTGTCTCCTCTTTAGTGGCCTCATGATTAAACTCTGCCTCCAGCCTTGCACTGAAGTAGCTGCACAGCTCAGTGTAAGGTGGCATGAATGAGAAGCAGCAGCACTTCCTGCCAGCTGGAAAAGGGTGGAGCGCCTACTCCAGCTCCAGAACGAGTTGCTGCCCCGAGTGGAGGAGTGTGTTGGGTTTGTGTGAGAGCAGAGTGGTGACTAACAGACTCTGCTGAGCATAAAAGTGGAGCTGTCAGTTTACCCATCAAATCTACGTTGCTGAGTGACACGAGATCATGATCACTGAAAACAAATACTTCACGCTATCGCTGCTGAAAGTGGTTCCACGTGCTTTTAAATCACAACATATACGTAGTTGTTGCAGTCGTGCACAGTAGACTACAGTCCTCTGAAACAAAGATTAGACTTTGAAGTTTAATAATGTCCCTCCTTAGTGAGCGCTTAAGTCCTCATTTATAAAGTCGCCAGAAGCGTTTTAACCTCTCCTGGTTAATCAGCTCATACACAGTAGAACATGTACATGCTGTCATTTAAACAGTGATTTGTCATTTCTTACTGTAGTTCATGGCTGATTCAAGCAGTAAACAGTTGTTGGTTAAGCATGCTGTGTGCTTAACTAACTCAATTAAATGAATTAATAAAAGAAAATTAATGAATTAATTAAATATCCTAAATTTAAAGTGACTATTTTTTTGCCTTATAAAGCATTTATAAATGAAAATTAAAGAACCTCAAGTACAACAAGTCTCAGCTTCACAACAGAAACACAAATGATGCACACAGAGATACAGAACAAAGATGTGTTGGCAGGTACAAACATTCGAGGTTTCCAGAATACCGACATGTAAGAGGAACAGAGCCTTCAGCTCTTTATCTAATAAAATCAGGACAGAGAAGAGAAAAATACTAGAAATATAAGAGAGAATGAAAATATAAAACATCTGGTGTCAATTTTGTGGAAAGCAAAAACAAACTGTAGTGTGGGCTTCATAGGTGCTGGTGTCACTGAGGAGTGTAGAAGTGTAATAATCTGTTTACAATAACAGTGCACCTTTTTGACTACAAACATGGTGTTTTTATTATATTGTGAGTTAGACGGAGGAATTCTTGCACCTTGGCTCAGGTGATGAGGCACATGATGTCAGTGTCCGTGTGAACGGCCAGTGTTTTTCCGTCTCCAGTGTTTTCCCGTCTCCTGTGTTTCCCCGGATCCTGGGCAGGACCTTGGACACTCCCACTCACCTGTTTCATTCAGTGACGATCAGCGTGGCAGCATTTAAGCCCGGTGAGGTCATCTCTTCTTCTCCAGTCCATCAGCGACTCATGGTGACAACATGGCTCTATTTGCTTGTGATTTTAATGTTGATTGTTGCATACTTGTCTCCTCGTGCCTACAGCTTTCTTTGCAACCCTTCTCAAGAAGCGTCATGGAATTTTTGATCAATTTGCACACCAGCTGAGGCAGGCTGACCCGATCGCGCACTTCAGGGTATTTTCCTTCAGGGCCTGAACGATCAGATGTGGGACAACTTAGCCTCCCAAGATGCCTGAGTCCTTCGAGGATCTGGTCTCTCTTAGGATTGAAAATGGCCTGAGGGAGAGAGGGCTGAAAGGAGTCTCAGCCCACCTATTTTCATTAGTCTCCTCTGGTCCTAGCTTCCATTCTGTTCTATATTCTGGATTCACTGGCAGCCATCCCATCATTTCTTTGAACCCGTCCACGGTGCCATCTTCACAAAACTGGACCTGAAAAACACCTACCATTTAGTCCACATCAGATATGGGAATGAATAGAAGAGAGCCTTAATTCACCACTGGGTCACTTTGAATACCAAGTCATGCCTCCAGTCTTACAAATGCATCAGCACTTCAGGCACTAGTGAATCACATTCTCAGAGATTTCCTAAACCTTTTTGTGTTTGTCCACCTCAATGACAGTTTTTCCAAGGCTCTCCCAGATAATTGAATCCACTTTCACACGGTGTTTCAGTGGCTGCTGTATGTAAAGCAGAGAAGTGCGAGTTGCATTCACCATCCATCATTTTTCTGGACTAATTTCTGGCAGGGGGGCAGGTGAAGACGGACCCTCCCAAAATCTGAGCAGTCGCTGAATGGCCCACTCCTTCCACTCGCAGGCACCTTCATCAGTTCCTTGGGTTTGCGAACTTGTACAGACGTTTCCCATTTCATCCACAACTACAGTCAGGTAGCAGCACCTGCAACTTATCTCCAAAGGTTGATTCTGTTCATCTGGACGTGGCATTTTGTGGGAGAAACGTTTCGTCATCATCCAGGTGACGTCTTCAGTCTCAGCTGCAGGTTTCAATCTTATAAACAGTGCATTTGCATAATGACTGAAACCAGCCCACTGAAGGAACAATGGGCTGTGAGGTCAGTTCCTTCATCATAATTATGCAAATTCTCATGACTCAACAACCACTGGCACATCCATTTACGTGAAAAGGGAAAGACCATCTCTGAATGGAGGAGGGGGCCTAAGGGTACATCTGTCACCATCTTACATGCTGTGATTGCAGCCATTCCCCAACTCTCTGTGAATGGTACTCATGGACATTGGTCAGTGGTCTTTGATCAGTGGTTGTTGATCAATGGTCATGAGAATTTGCATAATTATGATTAAGGAACTGACCTCCCAGCCCATTGTTCCTTCAGTGGGCTGGTTTCAGTCATTATGCAAATGCACTGTTTATAAGAAACCTGCAGTCAGCTGAGACTGAAGACGTCACTTACTCACCAGGTTGGTTGAGCATGCATCAAGACACCTGTAACTTACCTCATGTCCGCAAAGGTTTCGTTCACTTGGCCACCTGAAGCTGAATCAGATCACAAGAACTTAACCTATTTCAGAACAGCCAAGAGACTGGACGCCCGTCAAGGCCCACTGGTCACTATTTTTTGCACGTTTTAACTTTAACTCCTATCGCTCAAGGTCCAGAGATGTCAAACGCTCTCTCCCGCCAGTTCGCCACCAACACTAGTACTGCTGAGTCTGGTTACATCCTCCCTGGTTCCTGCAGGGTGGGTGCAGTAACCTGGAGAATCAAGGACACGATCCAGCAGACCCTTCAGGAGAAGCCTAACCCAGCACTGGCCCACCTGGTTGCCAGTTTGTGCCCACCTCTACATGTGCCACACTACTCCACTGGATCCATACCTTCCATTTTCCCATTCATCCTGGGATGAGTAGGACCATATCTTTGCTCCGCTGTCACTTTTGGTGGGATTCGGTACAAAAGGATGTGAGAGCGTACGTAGTAGCTTGCCTGCAATAAACACCAGTGCTTTTTCGGGTTGCTCCAACCACTAGCCATTCCACAGAGACTCTGTTCCACATAGATTTTGTTACTGGTCTCCCCGCTTCCTCGGGAAAAACTGTAATACTCACCAGTGTTGATAGGATTTCTAATTCAGCCCACCTTTAGCATTGGACAAACTGCCATCAGCTGTTGAGACAGCTAAACTATTGACAGATCATGTTTTCCGACTCCACGAAATTCCAGTGGAGATCCTGTCTGATTGAGGTCCTCAGTTTACTTCACAGGTGTGGAAGTCCTTCTGTTCTGCATTGGGAGCTGTTGGGGTTTAAATGATTTATTAAAGCTGTTTTTATTATTTTTATATACACAACGCAATGTGCTCAGAAACAAGTTGGTGCTCCATGTTTTGAGGATATAAAATGTTGTTCAGCGGCATGACGGGATTGGACCAGGGTGGCTGTGGCTCAGGAGGCAGAGCAGGTCACTTACTGATCGGAAGGTTGGTGGTTTGATCCCAGGCTCCTCCAGTCTGCATGCCAAGTATCCTTGGGCAAGATGCTAACCCCAAGTTTCTCTCCGATGCATCCACCGGAGTGTGATTGTGTAGTTAGACAGCACTAAGCACAGAGAGAGTGCTTGTCAGTCCAAATATTGAGAACTGACGGGAAGCAGAGGGTTCTGCTACATGCTTACACATCACACTAGATAATGGTTAGAAGGATCTTTGCTCGGCCAAAGAGAGTCAAATAGAAACAGTCGTAGGATATTATTAAAATGATCAAGGCTAGGCAGGGAGGGGTTTTCTTTTCTGTCTTGTCATTCCAGGAAAAGAAGCAGATAATGAGGGTCGTGAGTGAGGAGAAGGCCAAATGGAGACATCGGGATGGTTCGGCGAAGAAGACAGTTATAATGATTGTGTGTTATTGTTGGGTTATAAAAATGATACGGCCCGATCCAGGGCCGTCCTTTGAGTGAAGACAGCTGGCTGTGTTCACATGGAGGTCCAGCTTGTAATTCCAACTGCCGAAGCAAATTAAATCTTTTTAAATTACATACATTTCTCCTGTAATTCCTTCTGAAGAAAGTGGGTCAGTCTCAGTTCCAGATATCATCCCCAGACCAACAGCCAAACAGAACGGTTGGATCAGGAGCTGGAGGCTACGCTTCACTGCTTCACAACAATCCATCAACTCGGTCATCATATCTCGTCTGGGTGGAGTATGTACACATGTCTCAGTTTTGTCTTCTGTTGAGATCTCCCCAGGATACCAACCCCCTTTATTCCCAGAGACACAGATTGAACTTGCTGCTCCTTCTGTGCGACATCACTTGCAGCGGTGTCAACATGTCACAGGCCAGAGACATTACATTTATTTATAAATGTTTATAAGGCAAAAATAGTCCTCACGTTAGATGAGGTCACACAAATTACTAGTAAATCATATCTTATTTACACTATAAATGAGACAATGAGCACATTATATTTGAGCTTATTTATCAAGTCTCAGGTTTCATAATGACAGTACAAATGTGAAATGCAAAGCATGAAATTGGATGTTTTGGTTGATGACAAAGAAATTCAAAGATGTTTTATCAAGAACTCACTCTGTGATCACACGACAGAGCAGCACGATCCATCCTGTGGGTGGTTTTCATTGGTGAGGATGGAGACGACTTGCACTTCACAGGAACATCAACTAATAGGAAACACCACAGTTGATAATCAGCATTAACATAGGCAAATGGAGGGGAAACATGGTGAATATCATGCTAGCATACCTGAGTTATTAAAGGTCAGCGTTTCCATGCGGTTTGACAATACTCTTTCTGCGCTGAACCTGTCTTTGGCATACAGAGTTTCCCTCTCCTTTTTCAGCTCATCCTCCCTCTGCTTTACCATCTTGATCTCTTCATCCACCAAGGATATTGTGCTTCTTGAACGTAGTTTGAAAAACGGGTTGTTCAGGAACATTTTTTCCTGGGGCTGCTCACATGCTTTACTGAGAGAGAACTCAGAGGCACTGCGAATGATCAAATTGGACGTCTCCAGGATGATGACGCTGGAGCTGGTCTCTTTGGAGTGCCAGTCACTAGACTGAGCATTCACGTTGTCTTTAACATGCCTGGGACTAGAGGTAAAGTCATTGCTAGGGTCCAGAATGATTACATTGTTCGCTGACATTTCATGCTTCAGGGGTTCCTTGGTAGGTGAGGAGGTGATGATGAATGACGGCGTCAGTGGAGTGCTTATTGATCTAGGGATACTTCTTGATGGTGCACAATCAGTTGACTTGCCCATCCTGGAAAGGCCCCTCTCCCTTTTGAAATGTTCTTCCCTCTCCAGTGATATGCGAATATCCCTTTCAACTGTTTCTGGGTCATCATAAGGGGACCTGTAGCTGGAATCATCCAAACCAGAATCCTCTGAGCAGGGGCTAAACTGGGTGTGAGGATACTCCCCAACCAGATCTAAGTTTTCCAGATCATGTGCTTTCTTGTGAGGTCGGTCAATGTTGCGCACTGGAGTGTACATGAAGCTGTAGCTGCCGTGGAAGCTCAGCTGCTTGGTTGTAGGTAAGACTACCTTGTTTTTGGTTTGTTCCTCCATTTCCCGCCACTGTTTCCGAGCCAGCTGGAAGTCCACGTGCTCTGTACTAACATTCTCACTCTTGGTTTCCTGTATCACACAGAAGTCTTTAGGTAGCTTCTTGACTGCATCTACGCTGATGTGCGGTTGGTGAGCGATGTGGTTATAATTGGCATCTTTACCATTCTCACTCTCATCTTCAGATATTTTAGACAAGCCTTGAAGGCCTAACGGGTTATATTTAACCTCCTGTGAAGGGCTGGGGAAAGGCATGTTAACCTCGGGCTGTTCCAGAACGTCTTCCACTTGCGGGACCTCGAAACACACTTCATGAAAAGCGTTGCTGTCTTCGTCTTCAGCACCTGTCATCTCAGCTTTTTGTACAAAGAGCTCCTGGGCACTCAACTGAAGACTATCCAAGTATGAATCGTCATCTTCTCTATTAATAGAAGAGGAGAATATCGTTCTCCATTTTTCATCCGCCTCACTATCTGAAGATGCTGCTGCAATCTCAACTCTCAGGCATTCTTCCATTTCATCAGGACCAGGTTCATGGCAGGATTCGGTGGAGACGTCTGACATAGCTTCTTCTCTAATGCACTGTGCTAACATAGACTCCTCTGTGACGGATGGTTCAAATATGAGTTCTTGGGCCTCTGGGTCTTTATATATTTCCAGATTTAGATAGCCATCTTCTTCAGAATGCAGATAATTGTCAACAGCCCCAGGCTCTGGCTCAGGATACTGATCTAGCTCAGGGTCTAGCACTGGTTCAGGGAATTGCGTTGATTCTGGGAACGGCTCTGGCTCAGGGTATTCCTCCGGTTCAGGGAATTCCTCCGGTTCAGGATATTGCACTGGTTCAGGGTATTGCGTTGATTCTGGGAATGGCTCTAGCTCAGGCTCTAGCACTGGCTCAGGGTATTCCTCCGGTTCAGGGTATTGCTCTGGTTCAGGGTATTGCTCTGGTTCAGGGTATTGCTCTAGTTCAAGACTTAGTTCCTCAGGATCTTCACCAGGCTCTGGGCTTCGTACTGGTACAGCATCTTGTTCTAGCTCCGGGGTCTGTTCCTGCTCAGGATCTAGTTCTGGTGTTTTCCTCCTCTTATGTTGGGGGTCATTCTCACACACACTGTCTACACTGGAGAGTGGGTCGGACACAGATGAGGTGACTGATTCCTTCCTGCTGAGCTCTTCACAGCCCGGCTCCAAAACCAAAGCTTCTTTTTGATTCTGACGAGCCGTTTCAGTGCAGACGTCGGGCTCAGAGCAGTCACGCTTGTCATTCGCGTCTCTACTGCTTGGCGTGTCAGTTAATAAAGTGTCAGGCGTTACCTTTTCCAACGGAGACTCCGGGACTAATGGCGGTGTCGCTGAACAAACAAGCTCGTCATCTGCAATAAAGTCCTGTTGCTTAGGTGAATCAGCCATACCGACATCCACTTCACAATCCATCTCCAACGCTGATTGTTCTGTTGTTTCCATGGTGATGGACATGGAGTTGTGATCCTCAGCTGTGCTGCAACCTTTGTTCAGTTCCTTTCCATCTGCCTCTCTATCCACTGAGGTCGCCGTCTGAGAGAAAAGAGAATAAGAGAAGGATTTGTTTTTTAGAACGGAGAATTGCTGTTTGTTTGTTTTAAGCACACATATAGAGGTGTGTGTGTGTTTCCTCTGTCATTCAGTGCAGAAAGACAGGCAGCATATAAAAACAGCTAAATTAGAGAGTATCTTTGTCTATTGTGTCTACCCTTATGTAAGACTACAGGACTGGGTACCACCACACACTTTAATAAGCTTTGTGGGCTGATTGCTGCTACATCAGGAAATGTGTCTGAAATCTTGTGTTGTCATAGGAAAATGCAGCATGTTCAGAGCATAAGCCCTATACATGCTGTTTAGTTACACAAGTAACCAAATAATACAGACAAAAGTATAAACAGTGTGACAGAAATGTACACAATACAAAAGACTCTGTGTGTTTGTGTGTCTGTGTGCACACGTCTGTCTGTAAACATGTTTGTTAAACAAATAGGAAAAGTGAGCACTGCCATTACAGATGCCAGGATGCTACTTCCTACATACATTAGCATTCAAACTATCAGCCACAACAGTGCCTTCTTAGCGTTGCCGCTGAAGGATAGCATAAATTGTGCACGTATTTAAGCTGCAAACGTTCCTGTTATTAAAACTATATGCTTACTAAAATGTATTTAATCTTTTGCACAAAAGCCTTTGTTGATGATGGCAGCTTCAAGCTGCCTCCTGTATGGAGAAACTAGTCGATGCAGTGCTCTGCTGTCACTTTGGCCCATTCTGCCACACAGATGTTAAAATCCTTCTCATGGAAAACAAGATGTTGAATCAGGCCTCATCCTATTTCTATGACCTCACAGTACCAGATCATCCTGTGGGTGATACGGTACAGTTTATATATTAGTGCTATTGTTTAAATCTGTAAACTCTGTAA